CCCCAATGGCCCTGAGGACCGTCAGGGGGATGAGGGGCAGGGGTTGCTGCTGCGCCTGCGACCTGTGGAGTAGGCAGCTCAGCAGAGCACAGCGCAGCGCAGCCCGAGCCACAGCCCTGTTGCGCGTGTCGTGGCCTACCCTTGGTCTACTCGCGCCCCTGCTTCTGCTGCCAGCGGTCCCTTGGGCGAGTCGAGTCACCCCCCTACCCCTCCTCTCCGTTCTCCCTTTTGCTAGGGGATTCAATTACCCGCGTCCTTGCAGGAGGTCTCCGTCGGTCCCCGTCCCTCACTCACATCCCTTGATTTGTCGGCAGACCACCCCATCCTCGAGGTGCTGGAGACGCGGCTCAACGACCGCACGGCCCTGGACTTCGTGAAGAAGCAGAGGCAGCGCCTGGCCACCACTTAGCCGTGACCTGAAACCGGTGCTTGAAAAAAAAAATAAGGAACGTCTTCGTTGGCCTGCCTTCAGGCAATTGTTACTGTTACTGCTTTGGTTGCGTATTGAACGCAAGGAAAATGTGGTGCAGCAGAAACGACTTTTAAAACGGGTTACAATATAAAAGGTGATCCAAATTACACTATATTAAAGGCTATATTTTGTTCACTCCCAATACCAATGGGAGATTGAAGAATGAATCAAAAGTTTTAGATTTTGATAAGAATTCCATCAGCAATCACTAGAACTGTCTAGTGCATTTGTACTGTGTTACAGTGAATTATTACGCTTGACTTGTTGCTGCAGCATGCAGCTAAACTGTTACAAAAATGTTCACATACTCCTAAACTTTTAGATAATTCTACTCACTTAAATTTAAATGCTTTTTGTGGCTGAGTAATGAGTAAAATACTCATTAGGCATTACTGCTCACGCACAACTGCTTACTGCAGGCCATAATATCAGCTTCCAAAATTGTATAAAAGTAAAACTATTGATATAGTTTTTGGAATGTGAGGTACTGTATTCCTAATTTCAGAGATATCCAACAAAATGATACAGATTAGCTCTCGCTTTGTCTGAGCTTAAACACCAATATGCATGGTTGACAGTGAGAGTTCCCTTCCACGCTCAATTATGGGCAAATCATTCAAAACCACTAAAGAAGCTCAAAAGTAATAATTTCAGAGTCAAGGCATCATACTGTGACACAACACTTCGCAATTGCCTCAAAAAAAGGTAATGGTGTATTCAAAGAATGTAAAGTGCAATCACATTATATACTACAAAGAAGATGCTTTCTGTTTCATTTGAAATTTCTAATTTTCCTCAGCAATTGCCAGTCAATGTTATTTTGAAAAGAATGAAGAGAACAATGCATGTAAGAGAAAGCTGTGATTTGTGTATGTTAAGCTTTCATGTAAGTGTGATGATGAACTGTATCCTTCTATCTAGAATTACCTCCGTGTGTTTGTAGAACTCTACCTGACCTGCCAATTTTCCACTTTTGTAAATATTAAAAATTTCGAACCAAGTAACTATCCAGCAAATTCCATAAAGATGTCACACAGTGGTAAGTTTGTGGTTTAAAAAATCTTATGAGCCCTTCTTGCCTCTTTCAATAGAGTGCTTTATTTATTCTACTTCAATGTTCATTGAACACTGCTCAGTGCTGACTTTTAAATTTAAATAAGGTTCTGCAATTAATATTGTGGCGCTAAATGTTGCAATTTAGGTACATGTATAAACTTTCCACTAAGTACTGACCACTTTCCACAAAGTGCTTTGACTCTTAGTATGATTATATGCTATCTATTTTTTCAGGAAAAATTGCAGATTTTAGCAATTTTTCATCTTGGTGGAAGTCTATGTTGTCGAGTGAGAGAAGGGTGTGCTGCTTATTTTGTTACCAAGTGTATATATTGATGTTGAAAGGATTTGTGTATGTGTCAATTGAATGTGCGTAATAAAGATGTATTCACATGAATTTAATCATGGAAATTGTTACAAATTATAGTACATAATATACACACTTATGATCACAGCATCCAGCACTCTACATGTAAATAAGTAAACTTAATTAATATATTTTAAATTAAATGAAAGTGAAGGAAATATATGAAAAATCAGCATACCAAAGTGAAAGTTCTGATCTACAGTCTTCCTATTACATTTGTGTAAAAGTGTTGGCCAAAATGCCTATTTAAGGGAAGCGAAAAAAAACACTAATAATATAAATTCATTTTCAGGTTGGATAATTCAATAAGCTACTTCCAGAACAGGGAAGAGAACCTGATAAATTACTGCTAACGTATTATTTTTGAGCAGGTATTTATAGGAGATTTTGATTATAAAATGGAGGCAACCTTTTTCAAGGTTTTATGCCTTTTTGGTCCAAGGTTTGAAACCCCAATGGTCCCTCATAAGTTAACACGTTGAGTCCCAGGGGGGCATTAATCACGTGCTTTGTGATCATATGTGTGGTCACGTGGGATTCAACGTGTTAATGGTTCAATTACTCTCAGCTAACAGAAACTTTGTAGAAGTCTTTGAGACAAACCTTAAAAAATACTGTAAGACAGGTAACAAAATAGTTCAGATGCAAGGAAAGACAGATAATTATCTCAAGACAGATATTAAGACTGCATTAATTAGGTTCAAAATTATATTAATTCAATGTCAACTTCATTCACGTAAAATTGGTCTTCTTCCATTCAAAATTAACTGATCTAAGTTTAAAAAAATAAAGTGTGCAGTGAATAAATAACAATAATTGAAAGGGAAAGTCCTGAAATCTGTGCTTTCTTTTTCATCCTCACAGCCCACATAAAATGAAGAGAAAACCACATGATGGCAAACAACAGCTCCTCACAAAAAAATGACAGTTAAAAATGCAACACATTGCTTTAAGTAATATCCTGCACCTTCTTCATACTATCAATATTATATTTACAAACTAGATATTTTCATTTTCAGTCAAAAAGGGGAAATGCAATGGATATGTGATATTTAAGCATCAGTTTACCTTTCAGGCGATGCACTCAGTGAAAGTTTTCTTCACCGCTGTCCGAGCATAGGGTATGTAAGAGATAGAGTACCAGGTCATAGCAACAGCCTGCAGTATGATGAACAGCAAAGCTAGCCCAGCATTATGCAACTGGAAAAAAAAAGAAAAGAAAAATAGAACTTATTAATGAAATCAATACAAAAGATATTTTCACTACAACAAGCAAAAATGGACAGGATACTTACATACAATGCCGCAAACAAGGTCAGACAAATCAGAACAAGAACTAAAATTGTTGCTATGACACGTGTTGAGGCAAACATCTTTTTAAGTTGATTCATGGGGCCCATCAAGAAACATGTGCTGTAAAAAACAAACCAGTAATGTTTCCTTTGCTACTCTATATTAAATCAAACAAAACAGTAACAACTTTGAAATTGCAAATTAAAATCAGGTACCTGGCCATTGAGGTAACATTCCCAAATGTATAGAGAACAGCAAATATTGTTACTTTATGCAAAAACAATGCAACACTTCCAAGCAATGAGAGCAGGATTCCAACGACAAAACATATGATGAAGCCTTTAATACGTGTCGACCAGCTAAAAGTTGCAGCATCAAAAACCTGTTGAACATAATGGATGTATTACAACCTAGACTAACCAGAAATATTAGAATAAGGTTAGAAATATGTAAAAAGATGATTGAACAATACTTACTGGACTCAGAATAGAATTATCTTCACCGTTGTTTTCCTCCCCACTTAGAGCTTTCCTTAGCTTATCCATCTCTGCAAGGTAAAAGAAATATGGAACATTAATGCTGGTACAAACACCAGCATGAATCACTGTTACCTGTTACCTAATAGAGAACAGATTGATTATGATGAAGGATTTGGCTGTTTCCAATCAACCACAACACAGGCTTGCGCTTTGTGTAATGATGGACTGAAAATAATGCAGCCAACATCCTTCTAAAAATCAAAATTTGTTGCTTTCTATACCTGTTGCTCGCTGCTAAAATGTCCTTAACCCGTGGATGCAACGCCCTGTCCTGTCACTTGCGTCGTTGTGCATTGGCTTCCGTCACTTGTTTTTTGTTTACGCCAATTCTTCATTTGTTTTTCAAAATCACGGTTGGCTAATCATCGAAACACATCGTCGTGAAGTTGTTTTAAAGTTTTACATACTAAGTTTCTTGATACATGGCTTAGCTCTCCTCAGTAATAACCGTCGAAGTTGGTTTACACTATGGTCTGTGCAATCGAAGTGGCTCATATAAACAAACAGCAAACATGTCCAGGAAACTTTTCAATGTTGGTGTTTTGCGTGTTTATGTTGTGGTCGTAGCAGAAGAGAAGACTGGCAGAAAGCAAAGAGCAAAGCATAGAAATCGATAGGAATGGCTGCAATTCCTGTTCAACTTTCTGAGCTAGAAATGCTGCAATCTATGTTTAGCCACAATGAATTGCGTATCACACCTAGCCTATTGGATGATATGAAACAATATGTAGATTCACCCCACGCAACACCACCGCTTGTGTCATTCATTATCAACCTTGATGTAGAGGTAACAGCTGTCTCATGCCTGATTGAATCAGAGGTAGAACCTCGTGAGCCGGTATTTGCATTTTTTTTGTTATACCAATTCTCTTTTTGTTTTAATATTTCAGATTAAGCTGGAAGTTAGTGTTACTTTGCCACCTGATTACCCTGCTGTCGAACCAGAAATGTTTGTGCGAAGTGAATTACTAGACAAGCAGCAGCAGGCTACAATAAATAAAGAACTTTATCAGTTTATAAGCAATTTGGAAAGAGGAGAAGTATGCATTTATTCGGCAGTATCATGGCTACAAGAAAATGCTCTCAGATTTAAACAAAATATACCTGTCGACTCTTCTACTGTTAAAATTAACACAGAGAAACTTGTCAGGATTTGGATTTACTCACACCACATTTATAACAAGGATAAGCGCAGGAATATTTTGGCGTATGCCTCACAACACTGTTGTGCTGGCTTTATGTTACCAGGTCGACCTGGCATAATTTGCCTTGAAGGATTCGAAGAGGACTGTGATGAAGTGTGGAGAAAGGTTTGGCCTTTAAAATAGTGATCTGTGTTTGAATATTTTTGACATCCATCAACATTTACTTTATGTCTCCATTTTAGATAAGAAGTATGAATTGGAAAAAAATCATGCTGAAGAAAAAAGAAGATTGCTTGGAACGATGTTTTTCCTCTTTTGAAGAAACATCGTTCAACAAGTGTAAAGATGAACGACACATGGATATGGGTGAATTTTTTAAATACCTTGAAAACCACAACTGTGGTTATATTTTTAAAGAGTATTTTGGAGTGGATGGCAAAATTCCGACTGAGGATGATTAATTTGTACATACATTTATTAATATCAAATAATGAGAATGGACCGGCAACACAGGGTTTATTGAGTTTGTCATTTTTGTGTTATTAAAAGACAATAACTTAAGCGGACCATTGTTGTCACTTATCGGCCATTCCCTTTGTCAGCACGTCCCGAATCCTTGGACTGGGCGCACATTTTCGTCAGGCCTTATCGTTCCTGCCTTGGCCGTGGGCCAAAGTCAAACTCTTCCTCCAACGTGCCTGGCTTGCATATGCCTGGCGTGCGTTGCGTGCGTGCGTGACTCATCGGTGCTTTGTTGTCTTATGGGTCTCTTCTTGAGAGAGCCAAAGCTGAAAGCTCTGTGAATTATTTTAATCAACGTCTAATAGACGATTAACCTCCATTTTCGGACCGTGCCGGCGTCGTATCGTAGGCGCATGGTGCCTTACGGGTGAATCGAATAGGCAAACGCACCTACTGTTGCGTCGTGGGTGGCCCATAGACCCGGAGCACGGTTTAGATACTGTACACATGTATGCACTGTACGCATGGCTGCATGCGCTACAGAAATATTCTGTCCCTGTGGCCCACCTTGTATACACGTTTATTTTGGCCCTAAAATATGCCTGTACCCTGAACCACTAGAAGACGTCGGAAAGATGACACTTGTCTAGCTTGGGAGGCACCTACCTAGTGCAGGGAAGTCCCGCATTATTTTTAGCTCAGCCCAGGCCCGAATCCTTCCGTTTTAAAACGTCTGGTGGGTACGCAAAATAAATTTCTTTATTCCATCCTGGTAGTTGGCAACATGCGTAGCCTATCGTCCCTTACAAAACTGGTCTGGACCCGCTTCTGTAGTTGGACGACACACCCCGCTGGCCCGCGGCCGCTCCAACCGCATGCAACCTCCCCCTCCCTGCCTTGGCTGCCACCTACGTCGCCTTATTGAGGCTTTGGAAAGTAATCAGCAAAGAGATGCCCCGGTCTCCAGATAGCGGAACAGTCGGCCTGAATCTGGGATACTCCTGCCTTGCTAATTTTTTGCCCCTCGCATTTTTTTCCTCTTGCCTTTCTTTTTACGAGCGGCCATATACTTTCTTCCGTCTCAACTGTCAACCCAACGCCATTAGTGTGGCAAAGAGACGAGCCAAGAGTGACCCACTTTTTCCGAACCAGACCCGCTCGTACGGAGACAACTCGATCTGGACTTGGCTTTTGGCGACACATAAACATGGAAGGTGGGAGGCAGGGGGGGGGGGGTCCCCCAGGAGAGGGGGCTCCACTCACACAACACACCATGCACCGTTTGAGAGCAATGACCGATTCCTCAAGTGCCCCGCATCGCCCCGCTGGAGTTGGCTCCAGTCGCAGTTGGTATCTCCCTCCACCCCGTCCCCCCTCTTTTCCCGAATACCCTGGGGACAAGGCCTTATTCCTACTTGCGCCCGTTCCCGTACGTGCGGCCGTGACAACGGCAGCAACGCTGATAAGTGAATGGAATGGGGTATCAGCGGTAGGCCCAGTCATCGAGGGGTCATGACCACTTTCGCAAGTTCGACATACAGGAAAATGATGCCCGTTCACTTTTCCTCTATTTCCCCGCTTCAAATCGAGGTTTTGACGGTTTTTTCGGGTGCAGTAAATGGCGATATCACCATACTGCACCCGAAAAAACCGTCAAAACCTCGATTTGAAGCGGGGAAATAGAGGAAAAGTGACTGTGTAATGCGGGTTGCCTAAGCTGAGTCAAAACGGCTCTGTCGGGACCCTTAAAGTCTATCCGAGATTTGTTTTACAATTTTTGCAATTTTTTTTTTTGAAGAACGGGCATCATTTTCCTGTATGTCGAACTTGCGAAAGTGGTCATGACCCCTCGATGACCGGGCCTAATCAGCGGGTATCAGCATGGACAGCAGAAAACTCCCACCTGGACCGTTGCGCCAAGCATGCCATAGGTGGCTGTTTAAACCCCGCTCACTCCTGTTGTTGTGCTGTACCGCATGCCTACGTGCGGGCGGGTTGCCTACTCGCTCGGCCTGCAAGGCTCCGCGGACAGGAGCGATAGGCAACCCACCCGCACCCCCGCAGAAGTGCACGGGGTGCGTTTGCGTTCAAATATTACGTCACACTTTTAGGGGACGGGGGTTTGTGACCTTGCGGTTAGACATGGTACAACGCGAAACTCATAATTGGATTAAAATGTTTGAGATGGGATCGACATAGAAATGTAAAAATGTTACGTCCAGAGGGGGGGGGGGTAAGTCAAAACGTGATCAAAACTGAGACAGGGGGACGGAGGGGTCGAAAGATGATCCCAAAAAGGGTGGTGTATAATATTTGAATGGCCTCTAACAAGAATCTAGCTGTCCTGGTCAGTGTGTACATACTATTTTCGGTAAGATAAGGGATCATCCAGAAAGTATACGTCCGTCACTCGCCGTTACGAAAATGAAATTGCCAAGTTCAGCCTGTTCAAGGTCTCATAGCGCCTGCTAGGCAGGCAACATCGTGCCAGCCGTGCATGTCTGTACTGCGGGATGGCCTACCCCGAGTATCGCAGGCGCCGACCTCCCACGTAATTTGCCGTATGAATCTGAGGAAAGGGGACGTTGTTTCTGGACAATCCCGCACAAAACATATAGAACAGGCGCCAGTCAAATCTGAATAATTCTCTCCCGTCCTTATGGTCTTGATCAAGTACAGCGAATTCATCACATTATATGCGTCACAACTCCCCCCCCCCTCCCCTCCCTCCGCACTTCAGCGGAGTCTTTGTCTTAAACGCCTCTCCGGAGAAAGTTGCTGTTGATTAAGCACCCCGTCGAACCAAAGTACAGCACACCGCGTCCCTGGACCTCCGATACGATACGCCCAACACAACATCCACGAGCCCGCGCTGCTTCTCCCTCTCCCCCCCCCCCCTGTACGTGTAAATCATTCATTGGGGTAGGGCAGCCTACCCGACCAGAGAGTCCCGTGGGTGGACACCCCCCCCTCACTCTTCCCCTCCTCCCACAAGCAGAATGCGACTGACGGCGACACCCGGGTGGGAGGGATAACGGACACCTCTGAAGGGGTACCCGGAGCCGAGCCACCAGGCACCACTCGAGGCAGAACTCAGTCCATCCCGCACCGCCGCGCCGGAGAGGCGCCTGCAGCATCTCGAGCACCGCGAGTGTGAGTACCCCGGGGCACCCCCGAGCATAAAGAGCTACTGCGAGGTGCCATGAGTCTCTTTACCCGAGCAGCTATCCCCGCCGCCCCCGAGGACCCCTTTCTTACGGCCCCCACTGCCCTCCGCAGGTTCTCTCTTGTCCACGATGGCCCGGGCGCCGCCGATGCTCCTGCTCATCGCCGTCCTGCCCGCGCTCTTCCTGTGCGCGGGCGCGGACAAGCCGTCCAGGGTGGTGTGCTACTTCAGCAACTGGGCCATCTACCGGCCGGGCATCGGCGCGTACGGCATCGACGACATGCCCGCCGAGCTGTGCACGCACGTCATTTACTCCTTCATCGGCGTCTCCAACGTGACGTGGGAGGTCCTCGTCCTGGACCCCGAGGTGAGGGAAGCAAGCAGCGCCCCGCTGCACCGGGCGGGCATCGTTCGAAAACGAGAGGTAGTGAGAGGGGGCTATATCGCCCGGGCGAGCGTCTCACTCCCTTTTTCCCGCTTTCGGACGCCCGCCCGGTGCACGGCTCCACATAGGGAAGCCCCAGTCCTGGTCCTGGCCCTGGCGAACAAAGTTAAATATACTGTTAACACTGACCGGGATGCCGACGATATTTACAGAACGACGTGGAAAACAGTGGCTTCCGCAACTTCACCGACCTCAAGAAGAAGTACCCCGGGCTGAAGACGGAGCTGGCGGTGGGCGGCTGGGGCGAGGGCGGCCGGAAGTACTCGGCGCTCGTGCACCACAAGAGCAGGAGGGACTCGTTCATCCGCAGCGTCGTCGGTAAGTCCACCTTGCTGCAAGCAGCGTCTGCTTTCCTCGGCCAGCAACTTCGACACTTTTGCCCCACAGAGTTCATGGAGAAGTATGACTTCGACGGCTTCGACCTTGACTGGGAGTACCCTGGCGCGGCCGACCGTGGCGGCTCCTTCTCAGACAAGGACGTGTTCCTGTACTTCGTGCAAGAGCTGCGGCGGGCGTTCGGGGACCGGTGGGAGATCACCATGGCTGTGCCCATCGCCAAGTTTAGGCTCAACGAAGGCTACCACGTTCCCGAGCTGTGCGCGTGAGTATGCATCCACACCTCGGCTCGTGGTGTCGAATAGGTTGCCTATCGGCAGGCGCTAGTACGCTCATGATGCTGACACTCGCATTTCTAACGCTTCCAGTGAGCTAGACGCTATCCACGTCATGTCCTATGACTTGCGAGGTAACTGGGCAGGCTTTGCTGACGTCCACAGCCCACTCTACAAACGTCCTTCGGATCAGTGGGCCTACGAGACTCTGAACGTGGTAGGTAGAGTGGAAGGGAAGTCCCAACAAGAAATGGTCGGAATGTAACATGCGGTGTACTTATTATGAGACACTCGCCTGTGGTTTCAGAACGACGGTGTTCAGCTGTGGGTCGACTACGGTTGCCCGCCAGACAAGCTGGTGATAGGCATTCCCTTCTACGGCCGCTCCTTCACGCTGTCGCAGGGCAACAAGGACTACAAGATAGGCACGTACATCAACAAGGAGGCGGGCGGCGGCGCCCCCGGCAACTACACCCGCGCCAAGGGTTTCCTCGCCTACTACGAGGTACGGCACCGCGCGGCACGAGGCCCAACGCAACGGTAATGCAATGCAGTGACATGTTTTTTTATTCGTCTATCTTTCTTAAAGATTTGTCTGGAGTTGCAAGACAAGGAGGGAGGGTGGACCGAGAAATGGGATGATGTAGGGAAATGCCCATACGCATACAAGGGTAAGTGTGGGGGAGTGTTTGTGATAATTTTCTTAGAAAATTCGTGATTGAAAACTAATATTGATATTTTGTTTGCTCAGGAACACAGTGGGTTGGTTATGAGAATGAGAGAAGCGTTAAAATCAAGATGGACTGGATCAAATCTAAGGGATATGCTGGAGCCATGAACTGGGCTATTGATATGGACGACTTTAGAGGTGTATGTGGAGAAAAGAATCCACTCATCAAAATTCTTCATAAAGAGATGAAAGACTATGTTGTTCCAACTCCAACGGTGTCAACGACACCTCGGGTAAGTTTGTACAACCACAAATACAAATGAAGTCACACTACAGACAGAATAAAAATTATGCTCCTTTTGCTTAATTTCAGCCTGAATGGGCTCGGCCACCAAGTACTCCTCCTTCTGAACCTACCCCTCCTAAACCCAGCACTGCATACAAGCCAACAGTAACCACCCCAAAACCAACGTCTACATCCGCCACCCCATCAACAGAAGCACCAACAATCAGCAGTCCAATGGACGATGTAACAACAGCTGCAAGTACAACATCAACAACTTCAACAGCAGCACCAACAACTTCAACTACAACACCAGCTACTTCAACAACAGATAGCTCCAACGATATACCAATGGCAGAATGCAAAGAGGGTGAATTCATTGACCACATGGATTGTAATAAGGTATAACAAAATATTGTTGTAAAATGTGCTTACATGTACCTAATTTTTAAAACCCCATTTTTGTTTATTTCTGAATTTTTTTCTTTTACAGTACTATCGGTGTGTGCATAGTAAGCCTGTTCAATTCGAATGCAAGGGAGGCACCGTTTGGAATAGTGCAGGCCAGACTTGTGACTGGCCATCAGAGTCACAACGTGAGGAATGCCGTCCATCTTCACAGCCCAATTCTGAAAATGCAAGACTTCACCTAGGGCCACAACGCAGACAGTAGATTAATATGAAGTTTTAATTAATTATTTATTATTTATTTATACTTAATATAAGGCTGATTAAATAATGTAAAGTGATCAAAATTGCTTCATTTGTATTTTATTTTTTATAATATAAACAGTTCCTTCAAAAAAGGAAAATATTAACAGTTCTACTTGATCATCCGCTTCAGAAAAAAATATCCTATGCAGGATCAAGAACCTTAACAAATCCTTCAAAGGGCTCAACTGCCTGTATCTCTAGTTTTACTGGGCAGTGCAACCAAATACTAAGCATTTCCTCAGAAAAACCAGTAAGAAAATATACAGACTGAGGATTCATTCTTTTAGAAATTAAAAATGCTATACGTATCATATTATGCTGACGTTTGATGATAATTTGCTCTCCTACAACACTGCAAAACCAGGATCCATATATAAACCTCCGGATAAACATATCTTCGATTGCAGTGAGCTGGGTACGTCGACCACCAAGAAGATTGCCTAAACATACAAGAAATAAAGAGTATCTACTTTTGAAAGGATATTTTTCAAAACTATAAACATATGGCAAACACTTACTCGTATTCCAAGAATTCCAACTTTTCCAATGAGCAATTTCATGAGGTTTAGTGGCTTGCTCATAGGTCAGGAGCTGGGAACGACCCTCCAGACGTTTGTATCGACCAACAGAAATCCTGTGACATGTTGCAGTAGTAGAAATTTGACATTCTTGTCGAAGGGCAGAGCTTGCTGATTTAATAAATACCTGGAAACCAAACATTTTGAAAAGCTTACTAACCTCTGACAGCAGAAAGCAATTTTAGTTTAATGAATCAAAAATATAAACATAATAAAGGGACATGTCACTTACATTCATCTGCAAAGCTTTAGTTAAATTTAACGCCATTCTGACAAGTAATTGTGATAAATTACTTCGTTTTACATCAACTTTACACAAACTTAAAATTATTCTCTCATGACTACCAAGAACACACCAACAAGAACACACACACTTTCTTGCTTGCTTCCTCCTGTACAATTTCTCATATAACAAGGTACGTTCCTGACTGGCAAGCTGACAAAGTGACCACACAAAACCTGTAGTCATGACGTTTTAGCAGACGGCATTTTCGGCTCAAATACAAACATGTCAAGCAATTTATTTCTAATCTTTTAATGGTAAAGAATGGCTTAGTGAAAGTAAAGTATTTATCAGTATTTCACCAAGTTTAGGTGTCTTATAGTTGCAGCAAGATTATTGAACAATGGAAGCCACAGATATTGCCCTTTTAGAAGGGTCCAAAACCTCTCACGGCGAAGTGGCCAATATTTTGTCGAAATTTCAGGAAAGGGTAAGTCTGTTATTAAGGTTCTCACTTAAAAGTATTCAGATATAATTCGCTTACTTAGCGCTCCCTTTGCCATGGAATCGCATCCTGCCTCTCCTGGTCAAATCAGTTCCTAACCTCACCTAAAACCCAATGAATGTTATCTTTACAAAAATAAAAATAAATCACAACTCGCAAACATTAATGTGTTGATTCTGAAACATTTGAAACAGCTACTGGTACTCATATTAAATTTATTTTTCACGCAACAGAATTCAAACTCATTTACCTTTCCCGAACTGGATCAAAACAATGGAAGATTGCGCTTGTGGAAATGTCTCATGAGATTTTTAAGTGCACCACTGCCAGAATACCTTACCAAAGACATACTTGTATCTCTTCGCATTTTAAGTCGAGATAAGCAAGACATAAATGATATTGTCAATGTCCAATATGTGGACTTGTTATTGAAACATGCTGGGATTGTGAGCCAAGAAGAAGCAATCAAACGTATCAATGAGAATGAAAACTTTGAAGGTATGTTGATTCTGAATAAATTTGCTGATGTTGATTGCATGATTCTAACGTCTTTTAATTGTTGATACATTTTTTCAGTTATCCTGGAGGCACTGAAGTGTCTAAGCAATATTGTATTTAACTCTCCTAAAGCCCAAAGAATGTGTGGCACAAATAACACCATGGAGGGAATTCTATTCCGCTTGCGCACCTATCGTGATAGAACTATACCTGACGAATTGAAGTACTTTGATATGAAAATGCTCTTTCTTATCACTGCATTGCACAGTGATAGCAGGTGATTTACCTATTGGCTTGTTTCACATCTAAACCAGGATGTATTGTATGTTGCATCATTGTTATGGTTTTTATTTTATTGCTGCTACAGATCCCTACTCAAGGATGAACTTCATGGAATGACATATCTAATGGAGCTAGTTGACTATGAAATGAAACAAGCATTAGGGGATAGTGAATCCCATGGAGCTGTGGGGGGTGTGGCTTCTTCCTTAAAATTATCTAATCAGCAGGTGGGTTGTCAAAATATCCTTTTATCATTGTTTCTGAACTACACATTTTTGTTTCAACTTGACTAATTATTTTTAAAATTTTAGGGTCTGCTTCTCTGTGAGGTTTTAAAAGTGCTCTTTAACATATGCTGCAAGGACAAAGGTCTCCACCTTGATGAAGAAGCTGAGGCTCATGGTCAAAGACTAGTATGTATTTTGCGAGATCTCTTACTAGCAACTACAAGCTCTCCAGAGAAACAATTGGACCTACAAAAGTAAGCCTGTAGTCTTTGACCTATTTTAGACTCAAAGGTTTCTTCCTAGTTTTCTTAGAATTATTATATTTATCTTGTTCCAACGATTCTTTTGTTTGTGTAGCCACACGGTGAATATGCTCACTGCAGTTCCAGCCCCCTGTCTTTCAGTTCTTGTTACTCCACATCCTGAGAAAGACAATGTTGAAAATCTAATTGAGTATGAGGGCAGTAATATGGAAGCAATAGTTGTACTTTTACATATTCTGCAGAGTAAATTAGATGTGGCTGAAGCTGCAGAGGTATGAACTGAAAACAATTAAACAAGGTGCTCTTCCTTGTTGTATTAATTTTGAGGAACACTTTTCTGTAATGACTTATTGTTTCAGACTCAGATTCAGACAGAAGCTCTTGCTCCTGTCTTGACTGTGTTAGTGGAGTGTGCTCGCAATCACCGTATTCTCCGCAAATTCCTACGTCTTCAAATTCTTCCTCCCCTGAAAGAAACTCACCGTCGTCCAGAGGAAGGGAATTCCCTCCGTAACAGGCTCTGTAGGTTTTTGACATCTCCAAATGCACACATCAAGAATTTGGTTGCTGAATTACTGTTTATCTTGTGCAAGGAAAATGGTTAGTTTAGTTCTTTTCCTGCCCCATAGTCACTTTTCTTCTACACATAGAGTTTTAAAATTTGCCATTTGTTACAGTGGGGCGTATGATCAAGTACACTGGTTATGGTAATGCTGCAGGCCTCTTGGCTAACAGAGGCCTCTTAGCTGGAAGACGTGAGGATGATGAGGGCCCTAATTATTCTTCAGAGAGTGAAGATAGTGACACTGAAGAATACAAAAAATACCGCCATGAGTAAGCACTTAGTTTTTCATGTCTGTTTGTTTGGTGTACATAGTCAGCAGTTTATAATTATTATGACTCATATTTTAGAATGAATCCTGTTACCGGATGTTGGGAGCCGCCACGTACAAATCCAATGGAAGGCATGTCTGAGGAACAGAAGGAATACGAGGCTGTTCAACTGGCTAACTTAATGGCAAAGCTTTCAAGGTAGCTGATTAGCAGTCTTATATTTAAGCTGAATCTTTAAACCTTCAGCTGTAGTGTTTTTGTCTCTCATTTACGTCAATAGTTTTTAATTTTCTATTTAAATTTGTTTCAGTGAAGGGCTGGTGCAGCCATGCAGAATAGGAGAGGATGGACGACCAGAGCCTGTTGATCATATTTTGCAATTGCAAGATGAGCTTCCAAGGCAACAAGTCAGACCACCACAATCTGCAGAAGATGATAGTTAATCTAGTCAATATTTATAGGACATTCCATTTTGTTCTTTGCATTCATGTTTTAAATGTGATACTATAAGTGGTAATTATATGTCATATATCACTTGTTTTAAGATCTGGCTTTAATGTCTTTCGTGTGGATCTTTCCAAATTGCAATTTGATAGATTGCAATTTTTTTAATCAGTTGTACATAGATACCTTGCAAGACATTCATCTTTCATTTTATGTTTGATGTATGAATTTTCTATCATCCTCTCCATTTTATATGACTGTGCCATAACAATTGTGTCAAGAATATTAACAAAACACCTTGTTTTGTCAAAAAATAAGTCTCTTGAATTAAAAACACAAAAATATCTGTAACATAATGTTACCTCTCTTGAACATCAAGTACTCTATCTATACTGTGTATCTTGAGAGGTGATGTTGGTTTTACAATGGACTTTCTAGTTTAATTATGTCTTTTATGACTAATGTGTTTGTCAATGAACTTGATTTTATTGTAGTGAATTATGATTATTCATCTTTTATCTCTCCTTCATTTTTGACTGATGTCTCTTGTTCACCTCTCTCCTTTAGGGTGTATTCAATTTTCATTGCTCATATGCATGCTGTTTGTCCATCTGTTTCTAGCTTCTCTTTTTCTAATGCTCTTTTACACTTGATCTATTGGGCTAAGGCTCTCTTGTCTATGGATTTTGTTGTTTATCTCTGGCATTTCATCATTGTAGTTACCATCGTAAATAAGAAGTAATTTTTATACCTGCAGTTGTATGTAGACCTTTAACCATACCATACCATACCATGAGATGTGAGTCAGTCCAAAGAATAACCCAAATGTTTACACTAGGTATACATTTGACTTATCAATCAGTAGATCAATTTTACGAAAAATTAAAAAGAATATTAAATTCATCTTGTCTAAACACTAAACATCAAACTGATAGAATTTTATTTAAAAAAGAAGGGAATAAATATTGTCCTTTTCTCAAGGTGAAATTTGTCTTTCTAGTAGGATATCTTTTGAAATGTGTTCTTTGTTGTCAGAAACCTGTTTACTGGGTTAGATTACCCATTACCGTTTTATATTAACTTTTCTAGTGCGTGCATAATATGTGCCAGTATTTTAATGAAATTGGAAGCTGGACAATAAAAGAAAGAAAGCCCATGCTTGTCTTTTCCTACATTTATTGTCAATACTTGTTTTACAGAGTACAGGTCATCAAAAGTTTCCCATGAATCAAAAATATGACTGCAGTTAATTTTGTCTCCAGCTTGAAAAAATGTGATTGTTCATAGGAGTTCTAGAAAACAGGAAATTCTTCCACCATGGACATTTCTTTTAAAAAAAAGGCTATTTTTCTTTAAAAAAACAAAACAAACGAATAACAAGAGCAATACAAGTTAATTCACAGAAGGGCTGTTCTGATTTAGGGGTGAATCATTCCAATGTTCAGGATCTAAGTTCAAACATTTTTACTGCGCTTTCTCATTTGAATAAGTATTCAATAATAAATCTATCTACAGTTTACCATTAAAATTTAGAAAGAAGCTCACAAAGAAAACAATATGTGATATCACCATTTAAGTTCAAGAAGCTGAAACAAACAACTTGGTTTATGGAATGATTTCTGAAATCCACAAATTTGTTCACAAGGACCTTTAGCTATCTCATTTCAAGCACAATCAAGGAGCAGCTCATCTCATCACATCACAACAATATGATCCAATAATATCTCGAAAGAAAGGTATGAAACCTTGAAAGTTTACTGCATATGCAGCAAAGAATGTATTTCTTTAATAACATTTACAGCATAAATAAACGTTTTCCCCCCCCATATCTTCAGACTACTTGGAAACTTACACCTCTTGTCTAATTTTCAAAAAAATAAATTTGCTATAAATGAACTGTTTTTGTAGTCTAATCTTGGAAATAATTGCGTTTAAGCTGGTACTTTAGGCGATCAAAGTGGGTCACTGCATACCACGAGTACAACTTATCAATCATATGGTTGCAGAGCTTTGGGAGCTCCTGAGCATTTTCTTTTCCTTTTCTCGATATTCAAGAGCTATAAGTATGGGTTCTGCCTCAACCCATCACCAAATGAGGAATGGATCTGAAGACGACCATAGTCAACGTAAGGTATAGTCTACATCCCTCCGTCGTTTCTCGACGTTCGCGCCTGGTCCTGCTTCGCCGGGTGGTCCTCGGTATGCTGCAGCTGCTGCTCCCGCTGCTCCATCTGTTTGACGCGTAGCACCACCTGAGCGTGCTCCTCCAGCAGTTTGGCGAACTCGTTCTTGCGGCTCTGGGCCTCCACCTGCACACCAAGGGAACAGACTTTAGAGTAGAGGAGCCCTCCCTCCCCCACGGTTGAGACCCTCTGCCTCATCGTGCCCCTCCCCTCACCTGTATTCGGCGGATGCGCTCGGAGCAGAGCTGCGCGTCGATCGGCTCCCTGCCGCTCCGGCTGTCCCTGCTGCCCCTCCTCTCGTGGGAGGAGCCGCACTCGCACGGCACCAGCGCCTCGAGCGCCTCCTGGGCCTCCTCCACCAGCTCGGCGGCCTCGGCGACAGCGCCCGGGGCGTCCGCCAGGGCCATCAGCTCGTCCTCGCGGTCACCGTCCACATCGTCCACCACGATACTGCAACAGAGAGAACGTCAGTTGGAGCCTGAGGCGCTGGGGCCCCCGATCGGTGGGCAATCCCGTAGCACTCCGGTGCGCCGCGGGCCTGCCGGCCTGCCCGCCTGTCATGGGTCAACCTTCCCACCTGCCTCTGGCTCTACCGCAGTCTACAGAGATGAACCCCCTCTCATCCAAACCTTTTCCCTCTGCCCTGCTTCCGCTCATCCCCATTTCCTCAGCTCTTGGATCGAGTAGTGTAGTAATTAGGAAAATCCCGCGAGCCCCCTCCTCCTCCTCCCTCCTCCCTCCTCCCTCCGAGCGGCGGGCTCGGCGGACTGCGGGCGGCCGCGCCATACCAGGACAGCCCCTTTGTTGGGGCTTTGCCGCTGCTGTCCTGTCCTCCCCTGACAAGGGTAATCCCCTGGCAATGCGTCGCGTCGTCTCGCTGTCCCCCCGCGCGCCCCGCCCCGCCCCGCGCCGCGCCGCGATAGAAAAGGCTCACTCTCGGGCCGCCCTTGATTGCCCCGCTCGTGTGCAATAATTATCCTTCCGCTGACGTGGACGTGCTCTCCAGGCTGGCGTGCGACGGGGGCGGCCGCCCGCGCACCCGCCTCCACCCGACCCCAGGGGACCCAAGGCGCGGACGTCACGGCGCTGCATGCGTTGGTGGACTTGGGACTCGGAGAGAGAGAGCACAGGAACGAGGAACGTTGCTCACCGCTGGCTGTGGATCGTCGAGGTGTATACTGTGTTACGTATTGACATGTTGGTCTGTACCACTTCCTGTCAAATGTTATAAAGAGACCTGCATAGCGTTTGAATAAACAAGTCTTCAAGGAACTTCATCAATGAAGTTCTAAAATAGGGTCTTCATTGTCTGATCAATATTTGTTAAGATTTTTAGCAGATGATACGCAGTTATCGTCAGCTTGTACTCTCGTAAAGTTGTAGGTTCAAAGCGTACAGTTCAAAGTTCGCCAGTTAAAGCAGCAGAAACGCGCAAGCAGTAGTCCAATCTATTTAGGCGGCGCGCTTGCAGTGGGGCTCTCGCGTGTCTGCCACCGGCGGCCGGGGGCCTGCCGGCTTGAGCAGTAGCGCTGTTCAGACCGACAGCATCGTAGCGCTATGAGCGACACTTCGCAGCGGCCGCTGCCCTACACAGCCCTATGCTTCGGTTATGACCCATAAAATAGTCGTTAAACACCCGCCGCGCTCCGCCCAGCCGCGCCCCGCCCGCACCGTGCTCGCCGCGCTATCGCCATGCTCGCCGTGCTCGCCGAGCCGTGCTCGCCGCGCCTCGCCGCCGTGCTCGCCGTGCCCCGCTCGCCGTGCTCGCCGCGCCCCGCTCGCCGTGCTCACCGTGCTCGCCGCGCCCCGCTCGCCGTACTCGCCAGGCTCGCCATGCTCGCCGAGCCCCGCTCGCCGCACCCCGCTCGCCGCACCCCGCGCCCCGCTCGCCGCGACCCGGCCGCGTTTACGTACAATGCGTGTCCACCCCGCGTTCACGTTCAACGCAGTCGTGTGAGTTTAGAGCTGCTCAACGCTCAACGCTATACGTGTAAGTCATCTGCTTTCACGTTAGCGTTAGCGTTAACGTTTTTTTTTTTTTCATTGCGGCAATTTAGCTGCAAATGTTGTGGCAGAATTGTTTCAGACTGGAGATGGGGCTGCACGCACACATGCGATCTATCGTAAAGAGGATTGCAGGCAAGTAGAGGAAGGGGAGGCTGTCCGCTCCCTGCCATCCCAGCCGCACCCCCCTCGCGCTCTCATCCGCACCAGGCGTGGGGGCGGGCGGACGTCTTCTGAGTGCCTTCGAGGAGTATCTGACAAACTACACGACATGTCCAATAAGAGGCAAGTTTGACGGGAAATATGGCCGTTGAACCTCGTCCTTGCCTTTGGAGAGAGTTTTCGGCTCGGCTCGGCTGACTGACTCGACCGCCGGCGAACGCGGGGACGCTAGGGGTGAGCGTGGAGGAGGAGTGGCGGTCGGGGCAGAATCGGTCGGAATGCAGGAAGGGCAAGGCAAGCGCGGGGTACTATAGAAGGGGTGGGGCGGTGGAGGCTCTCTGGCAGGCGGGTGGCCAAGCACGGGCGACGTGCGTCACGGCGCCACGGTCAACATTGTCTCATCATTTTAGCCTGCTTTTAATTTAGGGGGTCGCCCAGTGAGGTCGGGGACTTCGTTTCACCCGAGGCACCGCACCGCGTGGATATTTTCAGAGCTTGCAGACATGCTCCACATCACCTAAATCCAAATACCACGCAAACAATATTGACACACGTGTAAAACCTACCCCTCTGAGAGCATCTTTTGTTTGAAGTGCGTGGGTTGTGTTGTGTCGGTTTGTAGTTCGGCCCTGCTTTAGGCCCCCGCATCAGGTACGGCAGGTTGGCTCTGCGGTTCACTGGCGTGCATGTGGCTAAGAGCGCGGCTCCGTTCCGTACTCCACTCCCGCCGCTACCTGATTTAGTGGTTTCTCCTCGCGGGAGGTGAGAGGCAGCAGAAAGGGGGAGGTTGGTGGTGGTAGGGGGGGGGGGTCGCCAAAGCTGGCGGCCCGTCTGTTGGCTTCACCGCCACCACAGTCTGTCCGTATGTAAGCAAGTTTCCAACCTCCCTACTAACCCCGGCAGCTGTCGCGAACTACTTAAACTACATGACATGCACCCACGGAATAGTCCTTTACACTTGGAACTTGCGTCGTATGAGCATGCGTCTGTTTGTATTGGAAGTCGAACCAGTCGAACTGAGCCGTGGCGGTGCGGAGCGGCGTTAGTTCGGGGTACGTCCCTGTCTGTAGCAACGCGGTTGTAGCTACAGCCGACAGTGCCCGAGTCAGCTTAAACTGAACAGTCTATAGACGAATTCATTACTTCCTCCAATGCTAGAATATCAAGCAGAAGTATAAACAGCACTAAGAACTAAAGCGAAAACGAAAGATATCAATGCCTCTCCGAAGCTCTCGCCTTGTCCAAGCGCTCGGAGGGACAGGGGGCCGCGGGGCCCCGATTCAGGAAAGAATTGCCCACCCTCCAGGCGTTTTCAGTGACTGTCATCGACCCCCGCCTAGATTGACACGGCGTCACTTCTTCGCTTTAGAAAGGATTTATGGGCCTGGGGTCAAAACGAGCCTAAACCCAAAGTCCTCGTCACGACAGACGCATTAGAGAGAAGCCGTGGCTTACCTCGCAGGCGTCCAAGCGACAACTCGTGTCGCGGCGACAAGTGGTCACAAACACGTGGTCCCAAATGGGGCAACAAACGATGTCCGACGCCACCAGCCACACGCCCCTTTTGTAGTTAAACAGTTGTAGCTACAG